AAAATGCTGCATGCTAGCATAAGAAAAATCAATGACTATCGATATTATTCTCTAATATGAAGGGGATAACAGATCGCAAATTCTATTTTTATCCAATTGAGAAGAAAAAGCCAACGCACTGATCTTTTTTCTTTCATGCCACTTGATCCAAAATAGCTTTCGTCTGTGCTTCGTTGATCTGTGAATTGAAATCGCATGGTCTAATATTAAGATTCAACTTATATCAAACTGTTCATCTTAGGGGGCAAGTGAACAAATTAGGTGATTTATAATGTAGTGTATTTAACTGAGAAATGTATTGAAATAATATCGATCTGTGATATATATTAAACCTTGTTTTACTGATTGCTTTAACTGCACAGGTATGCTTCCCTGGCATGGTGATACTAATTACAGATTAATGCCTGTTTCTCCATATTTGCAAAGGAATGCTGGTTTCCTCAAATAATTTGAACGCAAATAGAATAGGTTTGAACCAAACCCAAAGTTATTTGCTTAACTATTGGCATTTTATTAATGCTGCAGAGGAAACTAGAAAGAGAATTTGTTCTATACGGTGGAGCTCCACCAGCCTCTGGCATGATGCCTGATGAAAATGATGAGGACAATGGGCAGGACAAAGAAAGAGAACCGATTCCATCAGTTACTGGTATTCCTCAAAAACTGTAATACTACTAGATTGAAATATGTATGATATACTTTAAGTTATCATCAAAGCCTCTGTTGCTGGCTTTCAAGCTGGTACTCACCAAGTTCCAGCTTCACTTTCCAATTTCCTTAGATGGGAGTCTCACATATTAATGTCCTTGCTGCCAATTAGTTGATGTGATAGTGATATTTATATTGCTGAATTATCCTCTCAAATGGACGAGATATTTCCACACACCGGTTTGATGTTTCCTCACTGCAGGACATGATGAATAAGACTTGAATAATTGTTGTCTAGATAATTTTAGGCTTTAAAGAAAAAAATGTGGAATAGAATTTAAATAATTTCTTGTTCTAAAAAAGTTAATAGGCTTTAAATAATTTCTTGTTCTACATATAGGATTTGTTTTTTTATAATAATAACCTGGCTATCCACATTATGTCATCTAATGCGGATGCAGGAAGTAATTATTTTGTATGCTTTGCATAATTGTAGTACATACGTAATTAATGAATTCTCTGTAGGTGTATGGAAGACATGAACCTGCAGTTTTTCATGCACGTGCTTATTATGTCCCTGGTTATATTTTTCATACAAGCTTAACTTCATGATTATTTTGTTGTAAAAATTCACTCTTCTTTTGAATCTATGCAAGGAACAACAATGTACGATAATGGCGACATGAAAGTCACTGTTACCACTAGTGAAATTTCCCGGGAGGAAGAGGACTTTACCAACGAAGAAAGGACATGGGCAGCAGTGCCTAGATTAACTGAAGCCTCAGCAAAGGACAAGAGCTCTATACCTATGAGTAAGAGTACATCGTTCAAGAAAGTTGCGAAGCACAAATCACGAGGAAAGCCACGCAATAAAAGAGACAAAACAAAAGGGAGGAAGAACAAAAAAAAATCACGTTAGCTGTCATTCCTTCAACCCGAATCTTCCAACTGATGGGCGCCTACAGTTTTGCAATCCAGAATCTGAACATAAACGCCTGATTCTACAATTTTTAGTGCTTATGGAGTTGTATAATGTTCAAATTCTACAATTTTGGTTGCCAACCTGATAGGAAGAGGTTGGTTTTGTTGTCTAGTTCATGTGAGTGACTGTAATATTAAGTGATTTTAATATTTTTTTAGTAAAATTTTATACATTTTGATGTAAAATGGTAAAAAGAAATTATTGCAGGCAATGGATTAAAAAACAAATTTCATACATTTTAGTAAAAGTCAAAGAGATGGGATGTGAAGCCACAATGATTGATTTCTGGATGTATTGAAGAAATTCAGTGAGTTCATCATGGACCCAAATTATTACTTGTGAAATTCATGCATATAATCTTCTGAATACAGAAGCTTCATGGGGTAAAGGTGCTAGAGTACAATACTTTATTGTATTTGTCTTCTAATGCACAATGATGTAATCTCTTAAAAGATAAATTATCTGTATGTTTTTTTTTTTTTTTTTTATTTAATAAAATAGAGGATCAATTTTTTTTTTTTAACTTATTATAATTATTTCAACAAAATAAAATTAATTTAAAAAAAAAATTTTACCTCGTCAATATAAATTTTTTTATTATTTTATTCAAACATTTTAAATAATTAATTAGTATATATGTTATCAAAAGTTATTTTAGTATTTAAAAATTATATAGGGTATAATTTGTAATCAAGTAAAATTAAATTCTATTTTTATATTTTAAAATTTTAAATAAGTAATTATTATGTATATTATTATATTAATTTTATTTTTATATTTTAAAATTTGAGTGAATTATATATAAAATTTTATCTCACTATAACATATATAATTATAGTTATCACATTAATTTTACTTTATACTTTAAAAATTGAATGATAATGTCTAAAATTTTATCTTTATGTAATATATATTTATAATTAGTATTAACGTGTTATTTTTATTTTTCATTTAAAAAAAAAAAAGCATCATGTGACTTTTTTATATTACTTATATATATATAGACACCTAAAAGCTACCTAAAAAGTTTGTGTACGATTTTAATTTGCATTAAATTAAATATATGCTAAGTATGATATATACATTTAATTATAATATTGTATATCATGTATTATTATATTATTAAAAAGTAACTCTTTAATTTAAAATTTT